CACAGAGAGTCACAGAGAGTCACAGAGGGTCACAGAGGGTCACAGAGAGTCACAGAGGGTCAGAGAGTCACAGAGAGTCACAGAGGGTCACAGAGGGTCAGAGAGTCACAGAGTCACACAGAGAGTCACAGAGGGTCACAGAGAGTCACAGAGAGTCACAGAGGGTCACAGAGGGTCACAGAGAGTCACAGAGAGTCACAGAGGGTCAGAGGGTCACAGAGAGTCACAGAGGGTCACAGAGAGTCACAGAGGGTCAGAGGGTCACAGAGAGTCACAGAGAGTCACAGAGAGTCACAGAGGGTCAGAGGGTCACAGAGAGTCACAGAGGGTCACAGAGAGTCACAGAGGGTCAGAGGGTCACAGAGAGTCACAGAGAGTCACAGAGAGTCACAGAGAGTCACAGAGGGTCACAGAGGGTCACAGAGAGTCACAGAGAGTCACAGAGTCACAGAGTCACAGAGAGTCACAGAGAGTCACAGAGGGTCACAGAGAGTCAGTCAGAGGGTCACAGAGAGTCAGTCACAGAGAGTCACAGAGGGTCACAGAGAGTCACAGAGAGTCACAGAGAGTCACAGAGTCACAGAGGGTCACAGAGAGTCACAGAGGGTCACAGAGGGTCACAGAGAGTCACAGAGGGTCACAGAGAGTCACAGAGGGTCACAGAGGGTCACAGAGAGTCACAGAGGGTCACAGAGAGTCACAGAGGGTCACAGAGGGTCACAGAGGGTCACAGAGAGTCACAGAGGGTCACAGAGGGTCACAGAGGGTCACAGAGAGTCACAGAGAGTCACAGAGAGTCACAGAGGGTCACAGAGAGTCACAGAGAGTCACAGAGGGTCACAGAGAGTCACAGAGGGTCACAGAGAGTCACAGAGAGTCACAGAGGGTCAGAGGGTCACAGAGAGTCACAGAGGGTCACAGAGAGTCACAGAGGGTCACAGAGAGTCACAGAGAGTCACAGAGGGTCAGAGGGTCACAGAGAGTCACAGAGAGTCACAGAGGGTCACAGAGAGTCACAGAGGGTCACAGAGGGTCACAGAGAGTCACAGAGAGTCACAGAGAGGTCACAGAGAGTCAGAGAGAGTCACAGAGAGTCACAGAGGGTCACAGAGAGGGTCACAGAGAGTCACAGAGAGTCACAGAGAGTCACAGAGAGTCACAGAGGGTCACAGAGGGTCACAGAGAGTCACAGAGGGTCACAGAGAGTCACAGAGGGTCACAGAGGGTCACAGAGAGTCACAGAGGGTCACAGAGGGTCACAGAGGGTCAGAGGGTCACAGAGAGTCACAGAGGGTCACAGAGAGTCACAGAGAGTCACAGAGGGTCACAGAGGGTCACAGAGGGTCACAGAGAGTCACAGAGAGTCACAGAGGGTCAGAGAGGGTCAGAGAGGGTCACAGAGAGTCACAGAGAGTCACAGAGAGTCACAGAGAGTCACAGAGGGTCACAGAGAGTCACAGAGAGTCACAGAGGGTCACAGAGGGTCACAGAGAGTCACAGAGAGTCACAGAGAGTCACAGAGGGTCACAGAGGGTCACAGAGAGTCACAGAGAGTCACAGAGGGTCACAGAGAGTCACAGAGGGTCACAGAGAGTCACAGAGGGTCACAGAGGGTCACAGAGAGTCACAGAGAGTCACAGAGGGTCAGAGAGTCACAGAGAGTCACAGAGGGTCACAGAGGGTCACAGAGAGTCACAGAGGGTCACAGAGAGTCACAGAGAGTCACAGAGAGTCACAGAGGGTCACAGAGAGTCACAGAGAGTCACAGAGGGTCACAGGGTCACAGAGAGTCACAGAGAGTCACAGAGAGTCACAGAGTCACAGAGTCACAGAGAGTCACAGAGGGTCACAGAGAGTCACAGAGAGTCACAGAGAGTCACAGAGGGTCACAGAGGGTCACAGAGAGTCACAGAGAGTCACAGAGAGGTCACAGAGAGTCACAGAGAGTCACAGAGAGTCACAGAGGGTCACAGAGGAGTCACAGAGGGTCACAGAGAGTCACAGAGAGTCACAGAGGGTCACAGAGAGTCACAGAGAGTCACAGAGAGTCACAGAGAGTCACAGAGGGTCAGAGGGTCACAGAGAGTCACAGAGGGTCACAGAGAGTCACAGAGAGTCACAGAGAGTCACAGAGTCACAGAGGGTCACAGAGAGTCACAGAGAGTCACAGAGAGTCACAGAGTCACAGAGAGTCACAGAGGGTCACAGAGGGTCACAGAGAGTCACAGAGTCACAGAGGTCACAGAGAGTCACAGAGAGTCACAGAGGGTCACAGAGGAGTCACAGGAGTCACAGAGTCACAGAGAGTCACAGAGAGTCACAGAGAGTCACAGAGGGTCACAGAGAGTCACAGAGAGTCACAGAGAGTCACAGAGGGTCACAGAGGTCACAGAGGAGTCACAGAGAGTCACAGAGAGGTCACAGAGGGTCACAGAGTCACAGAGAGTCACAGAGAGTCACAGAGAGTCACAGAGGGTCAGAGGGTCAGAGGGTCACAGAGAGTCACAGGAGTCACAGAGAGTCACAGAGAGTCACAGAGGAGTCACAGAGGGTCACAGAGAGTCACAGAGAGTCACAGAGAGTCACAGAGAGGTCACAGAGGGTCACAGAGGGTCACAGAGAGTCACAGAGAGTCACAGAGAGGTCACAGAGAGTCACAGAGAGTCACAGAGAGTCACAGAGAGTCACAGAGGGTCACAGAGGGTCACAGAGAGTCACAGAGAGTCACAGAGGTCACAGAGAGTCACAGAGAGTCACAGAGGGTCAGAGGAGGGTCAGAGAGTCACAGGGTCACAGAGGGTCACAGAGGGTCAGAGGGTCACAGAGGGTCACAGAGGGTCACAGAGGGTCAGAGGGTCAGAGGGTCACAGAGGGTCAGAGGGTCACAGAGGGTCACAGAGGGTCAGAGGGTCACAGAGAGTCACAGAGGGTCACAGAGGGTCACAGAGGGTCACAGAGGGGTCAGAGGGTCAGAGGGTCAGAGGGTCAGAGGGTCACAGAGGGTCAGAGGGTCAGAGGGTCAGAGGTCACAGAGGTCAGAGGGTCACAGAGGGTCAGAGGTCAGAGGGTCACAGAGGGTCAGAGGGTCAGAGGGTCAGAGGGTCAGAGGGTCACAGAGGGTCACAGAGGGTCAGAGGGTCAGAGGGTCAGAGGGTCACAGAGGGTCACAGAGGGTCAGAGGGTCACAGAGAGTCAGAGGGTCACAGAGGGTCAGAGGGTCACAGAGGTTCACAGAGAGTCACAGAGAGTCACAGAGGGTTTGTGGATCATGATGTTCATGTTGTATTTGTACTGAGTCATTTTAATAGTGGGTTTGTACAGATCATACACTGACAGTCTGTGTTTCCTTTATATTAGGCTTATATAAGACTCCAGGCAGGTCTGTAGTATAAAGTATAAAACGATTCGATTCTTCACTGTTCCTCTGGAAATGACTCATCAGGATCAAACAAGGGAATTATCAAAAAAAAAGACGTGGATTATGTCTCGAGAACATAAACCACCAAGAGATTTCCAATGGTCCCATCAAGACAAACTCACGTCACTTTCATCTAGGTGTTTGTTATTTAAATAGTTTCATAGTTTATTTAATGAAAGAAGAACATTTACTGAACTAAAATGTCATTAATTTATGGAGGAAAACCTGCACTAGTTTATGATTCAACGAACCCACACTGGCTCCTGTGATCAACACGACGCACGAGTCGAAGAGTCTGTGAGCTGAACCTCGAAAGAATCGACCGTGAAAAGATCCTCACCAACATTAGAAAGATCCATTCGCAAAAAGAGATTAATTCTAGAAGACAAAGTTGTGGATAAACAAGACAATAAAGAAAACACTGGTCCTACGACGAGTGACATGTTTATATGTGCGTTCACACCAGAGCGTCACAAAACGCCCTCGACGTCTCTGTCTGGACGCCTTTACATTTGAATTTAGACGCCCCCGACGCCCCAGAAACAAGAAACAAGAACCTGCTCTTTTCCTGAAACGATGTCCAGACCAGACTGAGAGACTTTAGTGTTTTTATGACATAAAATCATCAGTGGAGGAAATCGACTCGACGACTGCGACGTGTTTAGATTTATACTCCACTAATGACCCTGGTCTAGTCCTGGTCTAGTCCTGGTCTAGTCTTGGTGTAGTCCTGGTCTAGTCTTGGTCTAGTCCTGGTGTAGTCCTGGTTCAGTCCTGGTGTAGTCCTGGTCTAGTCCCGGTCTAGTCCTGGTGTAGTCCTGGTCTAGTCCTGGCCTAGTCCTGGTTTAGTCCTGGTTTAGTCCTCATCTAGTCCTGGTATAATCTTGGTCTAGTCCTGGTTCAGTCCTGGTCTAGTCCCGGTCTAGTCTGGGTCTAGTTCTGGTGTAGTCCTGGTTCAGTTCTGGTGTAGTCCTGGTTCAGTCCTGGTGTAGTTCTGTGGTTCTGGTTTTCGGGTCTTTCTCTTTCTTCCTGATAAAAATGTCTCTGTGTCTCTGGATAAAGTTCAGCATTTTCCATTTTCTGGTGTCGACACCAAAACATCCTCGACGCGCCATGTCCACCGAGACTTTACATAGAAACTGGACGCTCTGGTGTGAACAGCCCCACACAGCCCTGATCCTGGTCCCTGATCCTGGTCCCTGATCCTGGTCCCTGATCCTGGTCCCTGATCCTGGTCCCTGATCCTGGTCCCTGATCCTGGTCCCCGCGCTGGACTCAACACCAGCATCCATCTCATGTTGGACATATTTGGAACTTCAGAGGGCGTTTCTAACCAAATACTTATTAATTTTCTGTGTAAATGAAATGTAAATGATCGTGGTGTTCGTCGCTCGGTGTTGGTAAATTCAGGACAACTGTCACTTAAGAAGGAATGTGGGATCTTAAAAACACTTTGTGAATCTGGCTCAGTCTCTCAGCAGCTTCTAAACGTGGAAGTTACAAACATTTTTTAAGAAGATTCATTAATGAGGCCCAGTGTGTCTTTAGTTTCTTTGACAACAAAAACAAAAACACAAGTGTGTTTCATTCAAATGTGTTCATTTTATTGGTCAAATGTAAATAGAACATTGAGCACATTTCTATAGTGACACTCTTTTTTATATGAAACTTTTAAGTGGCTCCACGAACAAAACGCCTCTGAAACTATGACTGTGTGAACAATATACAAATATATGAATGGAACACTCTGGCACGTGGTTATAGATCATTTTTTGAAAGAGTCTCGTCCCAGTGTGGGCGTGGTTCTGTCGGACGCTCCAGAGGATCAGATCTTCTATGATTTCTACGGGTCGTCTCATTTCAAACTAAAGCAAAGTTCTCTGGCCTTAACAGGAAGTAGACTGCACCTGGATCCTGTGCATCAGAATCATTTCAAACCAAAGCCTCAAGTCTGTGAACAGTGTGTAATGTTCTAAGATCAGATTTGAACTGACTGGAGTGAGTTTGTGAAACATCAGTAAAAGAAAATCTGAAAACACAAAACAGCCACAAAAGAAGGATTATAAAAAGAGTCACTAAACAATAGAACAAAACAGTGACTCTGTATTTACACAAATGGACTGAACATCCCTCACACCCGACCCGGTCCAAGTCCAGGACTCACACCCGACCCGGTCCAAGTCCAGGACTCACACCCGACCCGGTCTAAGTCCGGGACTCGCGCCCGACCCGGTCTGAGTCCGGGACTCGCGCCCGACCCGGTCTAAGTCCAAGGTCTCAGACCTGACCTGGTCTAAGGGCCAGTGTCCGGTCCAGGACTCAGGTGGATCTGATCAGGTCTATCTCCAGGTCCTCTGAGGTCCTCTCTCTGGCGCCCCTTCTGGCCCGGACCTGAAACAACAGGACACAGCAGATCCACACGTCACAAAACCAGGACCACAGACTGAAGAAGTTTTCTGAGGGAGCGTGACGACACCCACAGTGTTCAGCTCCAAATGAAGCTCATGGAGATTAAAAATTAAAAAAGAGAGACATAAATTAGAGAGAAGAGTGCGGAATGAAAACCTTTCAGTCATCTGCACAGTGAAACAGAACCTGGATTTAACAGAGTCAAAGTCGAGTCTGTCTCACATGTTCAGACTGTTCCAGGTTTTAGCTGCATGAACCTGAAACTCTGACTCCTCTTGTTTAGTCGTGACTCTGGGCACCAGCAGGAGTTGGTCCCTGAGGTCCTCAGAGTGTGAGATGTTCATATGACACTAACATGTCACAGATGGACTTTGGTGCTCAGACATGGAGACACTTGTACAAACAGAGACGTTTTAAAGTCTCTGAGCCACAGGAGCCAGAGCAGAGACCTGAGACCAGGACACATGTGCTCGGACTTCCTAGTTCGAGTCAGGACCCGAGCTGCAGTGTTCTGGATGTTCTGGATGTTCTGGATGTTCTGCAGCGTCTCACAGCTCGTTTGGAGAGACCAGTGAGCAGAACATCACAGTATCTAATCTACTGGAGACAAACTCATGGATAAGTTTCTCCAAGTCTGATTTAGACAGTAAACCTTTGATTTTTGCTATGTTTTTTAGATGGTAAAAGGCTGCAGATGTTATTGATTTGATGTGACTGTTAAAGTTCAAGTCTGAGTCCATTATTACCCTGAGATTTCTTGCCTGATTTGAAGGTTTTAGAGAGAGAGACTGGAGGTGATGCTGACACTGTCCCTTTGTTTCTGTGGACCAAACACTATGACTTCAGTCTTGTCAGAGTTTAGCTGGAGAAAGTTGTTTTGCCTCCACACACTGATCTGTTGGATGCAGTGACCAAGTAGCCACACTTTTACACACAAACTCAACTGGAGCCTGAGTCCATGGAGCCCAGAACTAGTTTCTAGTTGCTCCTCTAGAGTTGCTCCTCTAGAGCAACTAGAAAACACATCTGAGAGACATAAAAATGTAAGATCAGACTTTTACCTGAACACTTCACCTCCACACCCCAGGAAGAGGAGGATGAATAAGAGACACATTCTCTCACTGAAGACTCCTTCACACAGTCAGATCTGACTCTCCACACATCACTCTGTGGAAAACCATCTCTCTTTTCTCCATAAACAGCAGAACCACAGTCCAGGTCTCTGCACACAACAGCTGTGTCCTCCTGGTCCCAGCGTCCTAAAGGATCCACTCGTCTCCACTCTCTTTCGTGTTTCACCTCCACAGTCCCAGCACAGCGACTGGCTCCTCCCACCAACCTGAACGCTGAACAGACAAGAGACAGAGTGAAGCCCCGCCCCTTTATCTGAGCAGTGAAGCCCCGCCCCTTTACCTGAGCAGTGAAGCCCCGCCCCTTTACCTGAGCAGTGAAGCCCCGCCCCTTTACCTGAGCAGTGAAGCCCCGCCCCTTTACCTGAGCAGGTGAGGTTGACAGTGGCTCCAGAGGAGCAGGTGCTTGAGTTGGAGCGGGGACAGTCCATCAGAGCAGACTCATGTCCCTCACAGTGGAACGTCTGCCCCAGAGGAGAGAGCGCCCCCTGGAGGAGAGAAGGAGCCCCACAGTCCAGCTCCCTGCACAGCACCTCTGCCCCCCGCTGGTCCAAGTCCCCGTCACAGACCCCGGTCCAGGACCCGTCCCAGATCTGCACTGATCCTGAACACAGACCGGACCCCGAGACCAACCGCACCGAGTCTGTGGACACATGTGACATCATCACTCTGAACCAATAGGACGCACACATGTGTGACATCATCACTCTGAACCAATAGGACGCACACATGTGACATCATCACTCTGAACCAATAGGACACACACATGTGTGACATCATCACTCTGAACCAATAGGACGCACACATGTGTGACATCATCACTCTGAACCAATAGGACGCACACATGTGTGACATCATCACTCTGAACCAATAGGACGCACACATGTGTGACATCATCACTCTGAACCAATAGGACGCACACATGTGTGACATCATCACTCTGAACCAATAGGACGCACACATGTGTGACATCATCACTCTGAACCAATAGGACGCACACATGTGTGACATCATCACTCTGAACCAATAGGACGCACACATGTGTGACATCATCACTCTGAACCAATAGGACGCACACATGTGTGACATCATCACTCTGAACCAATAGGACGCACACATGTGTGACATCATCACTCTGAACCAATAGGACGCACACATGTGACATCATCACTCTGAACCAATAGGACACACACATGTGTGACATCATCACTCTGAACCAATAGGACGCACACATGTGTGATCATCACTCTGAACCAATAGGACACACACATGTGTGACATCATCACTCTGAACCAATAGGACGCACACATGTGTGACATCATCACTCTGAACCAATAGGACACACACATGTGTGACATCATCACTCTGAACCAATAGGACGCACACATGTGACATCATCACTCTGAACCAATAGGACACTTGTTGTGATCATGAGAGTTAAACACAAACTCAGAGGACGTGTCTCTTTTTTCTTTCCTCACTTCCTTCTTCTTGATTTCTCTCTTTGATTCTGCAGGAAATGGGTGAGGAAGTCCCGCCCACAGAGGAGACACAAGGAGCAGAGAGAAGAAGAGGAGAGACTCTGGGCTCCACATTAACCGTCGTCTTTTGGCCTCGGGCAACTACAAGTTTAGTTTGGGCAAGTGGTCTCCTCTGTGTAGTAGCCCGAGTGGGCAAGTGAAAGTACAGCCACACAAGTCTAGTCCCCCATTAATAATCATGAATTATTTGGTTGAAAAATGAAGGGACGGGTTGTCTGTTTGTAATCCCATTTTTCATTTCCGTGAAAGGGACGGGTAAGTCTTATGTTGTCACCGTGACCATTTTGTGAGACAGTGACAAGTGCTCACTTCATGTGTGTGACTGTGTGCGTCACGTCTCTCATTTTACCATCACGACTGCACACACATCTCCAGGAAACTTCAAACACATCAGAACAAGGAGCAAACTCAGGACTAAACCCAACTCCAACCAACATAAAGAGCAACTCCACAGAGTCTCCGTCAGGAAAGACGTCACACACACAAGAGCGTTCAATTCATAGTGAGACGGGTTTGGGTTCAACTCCACTGAGTGTGTTCACATGTACTCGAGTATCTGTGTGTGTGTGTGTGTGTGTGTGTGTGTGTGTTGTTAGTTGAATGTGTGTAAGTGTTTTTTGTTGTTATAAATCAGTTAAAAAGTCTTAAATGATCAAAGATGCTCCATGTTTATCTTTTGTCATATCTGTGCCATAGTTGCCATAGCGACCAGTGTAAATGTCCCGTCTCCTCTGATGGTGCATGTGCACAGGGACATGAGTATCCTGGTTTCTCTGAGCTCATGGAAACACTCTGTCCAGAACAGTGTCATAACCGGGATCCTGCTGCACATGTAAACGCACTGACACTTCCACTTTACAAATGAAACACATTTAAGCCTGGGCGCCAGTCGACGGGGCCTCGACGACCGGATCTCTGGACATGGAAACTGTGGCTCTGGGGACATGGAATGTCACCTCGCTGGGGGGGAAGGAGCCTGAGCTTGTGCCAGAGGTTGAGTGTTACTGACTAGATATAGTCGGCCTCACCTCCACGCACAGTTTGGGCTCTGGAACCCAACTCCTTGAGAGGGGTTGGACCCTCTGGTGTTGGCCGCGGGGAGCGGCGGCGGGCTGGTGTTGGGGGGTGGGCTGGTGTTGGGGGGGTGGAGCTGGTGGTGGGGGGGTGGAGCTGGTGTGGGCTCATTGCCCCACTGCTCAGCCACTGTGTGTTGGAGTTCACCCTGGTGAACGAGAGGGTCGTGTCCCTGCATCTTCAGGTCGGGGACAGGTCTCTCACTGTGGTGTCGGCCTACGGGCCGAACAGCAGTGCAGAGTACTCGAGTACCCGGCCTTCTTGGAGTCCCTGGGAGGGGTACTAGACAGTGCACCGACCGGGGACTCCGTTGTTCTCCTGGGGGACTTCAACGCCCACGTGGGCAACGACAGTGACACTTGGAGAGGGGTGATTGGGAGGAACGGCCTCCCCGATCTGAACCCGAGCGGTGTTCTGTTATTGGACTTCTGTGCTAGTCACAGTTTGTCCATAACCAACACCATGTTCGAGCACAAGGGTGTCCATAAGTGCACGTGGCACCAGGACACCCTAGGCCGGAGGTCGATGATCGACTTTGTAGTCGTGTCATCTGACCTCCGGCCGCGTGTCTTGGACACTCGGGTGAAGAGAGGGGCTGAGCTGTCAACTGATCACCACCTGGTTGTGAGTTGGATTCGCTGGCGGAGGAGGAAGCCGGAAAGACCTGGCAGGCCCAAGCGTGTAGTGAGGGTCTGTTGGGAACGTCTGGCGGAGCCTCTGTCAGAGGGACTTTCAACTCGCACCTCCAGGAGGACTTCTCCCGGATTCCGGGGGAGGCTGGAGATATGGAGTCCGAGTGGGCTTCATTCTCAGCCTCTATTGTCGATGCGGCTGCTCGGAGCTGTGGGCGTAAGGTCTGTGGTGCCTGTCGCTGCGGCAATCCCCGAACCCGGTGGTGGACATCGGAAGTAAGGGATGCCGTCAGGCTAAAGAAGGAGTCCTATCGGGCCTTGTTGGCTCGGGGGACTCCTGAGGCAGCTGATGGTACCGGCGGGCCAAGCGTGCTGCAGCTCGTGCGGTCGCGGAGGCAAAAACTCGGAGCTGGGAGGAGTTCGGGGAGAACATGGAGGAGGACTATCGGACGGCCTCAAGGAAAATCTGTCAAACCGGCGCCTCAGGAGGGGGAAGCAGTTCTTCACCAACACTGTTTACAGTGCAGGGGGAGAACTGTTCACCTTGACTGAGGACGTTGTCCGGCGGTGGAAGGAAACCTTTGAGGATCTCCTCAATCCCACCGTCACGTCTTCCGAGGAGGAAGTCGAGGCTGGGAACTTGGAGGTGGACTCATCCATCACGCTGGCTGAAGTCACTGAGGTGGTTAAAGCTCCTTGGTGGCAAGGCTCCGGGGGTTGAGATCCATCTTGAGTATCTTAAGTCTCTGGATGTTGTGGGTCTTGGCTGACACGCCTCTTCAACATCGTGTGGCGGTCGGGGACAGTACCTCTGGACTGGCAAACCGGGGTGGTGGTCCCTCTGTATAAGAAGGGGGACCGGAGGGTGTGTTCCAAATACAGGGGAATCACATTCCTCAGCCTTCATGGTAAGGTCTATGCCAGGGACTGGAGAAGAGAATCCGGCTGATAGTCCAACCTTGGATCCAGGAAGAGCAGTGTGGTTTTCATCCCGGTCGTGAGGTCATGGTTTTCGACCGAAAAAAGGTGTCTTGTCCTCTCCGGGTGGGTGGAGAGTCTTTGCCTCAAGTGGAGGAGTTCAAGTATCTCGGGGTCTTGTTCTCGAGTGAGGGAAGGACGGAACGTGAGATTGACAGGTGGATCGGTGCAGCTTCAGCAGTGATGCGGTCGCTGTATCGGACCGTTGTGGTGAAGAGGAGCTGAGTCGAAAGGTGAAGCTCTCGATTTACTGGTCAGTCTTTGTTCCTACTCTCACCTCTGGTCATGAGCTCTGGGTAGTGACCGAAAGGACGAGATCGTGGATACAAGCGGCCGAAATGAGTTTCGTCCGCAGGGTGGCTGGGCGTCTCCCTTAGAGATAGGGTGAGGAGCTCAGTCACACAGGAGGAGCTCGGAGTAGAGCCGCTGCTCCTCCACATCGAGAGGAGCCAGTTGAGGCTCGGGCATCTGTTTCGGATGCCTCCTGGGCGCCTCCCTCGGGAGGTGTTCCGGGCATGTCCCACCGGGAGGAGGGACTATGTCTCTGGACTGGCCTGGGAACACCTCGGGAGCTGGAGGACGTGTCTGGGGTGAAGGAAGTCGGGGAGTCCCTGCTTAGGCTGTTGCCCCCGCGACCCGACCCCGGATAAGCGGAAGGAAATGGATGGATGGATGGACACATTTAAGACAAAAGCAGCTTTATTTTCTCATCTATGACGTCATCAGAGACACAACTTTGTCTAAACGGATCTTTTATGTAGAATCCATTTACAACAAGAATCAAACACACACACACACTCCCAGCATCGTCCATCACAAACACACAGGTTTACTCCATCTCCAGAGAATCAGCAAAGAGAACATGAGACAGTCTGTCACTGTCACTGCTGCACACAATCTACAAGATTCAACTATTAAAGCAGAGCTCTGCTGCAAAAGGGACTTTTCACACATTTAACCATGTCACACATGTTTCCTTTCTTCTATTTGGACACATTCAACCTGAACATTTACAAAAACACTTTTACCTGAACACTTCACCTCCAGACCCGAGGAAGAGGAATAGTAGGACGGACCCCGGGCACATTCTCTCACTGATGCCTTCTTCACACAGTCAGGTCTGACAAACCACATACGACTCTGTGGAAAACCATCTCTCTTTTCTCCATAAACAGCAGAGCCACAGTCCAGGTCTCTGCACACACCAGCTACAGCCTCCTGGTCCCAGCGTCCAGAGGGATTCACTCGTCTCCACTCTCCTCTGTGTTTCACCTCCACAGTCCCAACACAGCGACTGGCTCCTCCCACCAACCTGAGCTCTGAACAGACAAGAGACAGAGTGAAGCCTCGCCCCTTTACCTGAGCACTGAAGCCCCGCCCCTTTACCTGAGCAGGTGAGGTTGACAGTGGCTCCAGAGGAGCAGGTGCTTGAGTTGGAGCGGGGACAGTCCATCAGAGCAGACTCATGTCCCTCACAGTGGAACGTCTGCCCCAGAGGAGAGAGCGCCCCCTGGAGGAGAGAAGGAGCCCCACAGTCCAGCTCCCTGCACAGCACCTCTGCCCCCGCTGGTCCAAGTCCCGTCACAGACCCCGGTCCAGGACCCGTCCCAGATCTGCACTGATCCTGAACACAGACCGGACCCCGAGACCAACCGCACCGACTCTGTGGACACACATGTGACATCATCACTCTGAACCAATAGGACGCACACATGTGTGACATCATCACTCTGAACCAATAGGACGCACACATGTGTGACATCATCACTCTGAACCAATAGGACGCACACATGTGTGACATCATCACTCTGAACCAATAGGACGCACACATGTGTGACATCATCACTCTGAACCAATAGGACGCACACATGTGTGACATCATCACTCTGAACCAATAGGACGCACACATGTGTGACATCATCACTCTGAACCAATAGGACACTTGTTGTGTTCATGATGAGGATGAGTAAGTCCCGCCCACAGAGGAGACACAAGGAGGAGACATGAGTTGAGGGTGAATGGGTCTTTCCTGAGGCGCTGGTTCTGATCTAAATAATCCTATAATGTGTCCAGTCTGGCGCCCCCTAGTGCCTCCGCTCAGTTTCATTTCTCTCCAGCTCTAGGTCAGGAGTCAGAAAACACTAGACGATTTGGAAAAACTCCAGAAGTGTGAGTCCAGACACCAGCCAATCAGACATTCTGTGTTCCCAAATCGAGGATTTAAAGTCGGAACAAAGAGAATGTTTGGTGAATTTTATCAAGGGGAAAGATGTTTTTGGATCAGTCTGTATGAAATCAGCCGTTTTCAATGAATCTCCCCATGAACCATCTCAGATTTGGCAGAAAATATTTCTAAAAATTTCTAAAATTACCAAATGAAAGTGTAGGGAAAGGTGCCTGTTCAGGGCCTGCTCCCCCATTCTGACAGAATCCACAAACCCGGAACCTGGAGAAGTCGGATCTGTCTGACTGCCTCTTGGTATTTACATCCCCAAGAGAACTGATCTTCTGTGTTTTCACACCTCACTTCCCCCCACGCAAAGTGGGACATGAATCAGAATGGGACATTATCATGGCTCTGCTAAAGTGATAAGGACTGTGAAATAATGACACTCCTCATTTTGCTTTGAAGAAACAGACCCACATCATCTACATACCAGACCATCAGGTGCCAATGCTTGGACCGGTTAAAACCGCGATGGACAGCGGTTGCCACCTTTTGGACTAACGAAGGACTGGATTAAACTCATCTTGATAACTAGTTAAAAATGTTTTTAACTGTGTTCTATATAAGGCTCATGTTGATGCAAGATAAGTACGCCACATTGTTTAATTCATGTGTTCATGGTCTCTTGTGTGTATTTCCTGTCACGTTCCCACGGAGGTATTTGCGGTAACTTCACCCATTTTTTTATTTACTTATATCAGTCTATTCAGGGTCGGGGTGTGAACCCACGATTAAACTTTGAGTGAAATCGGCCAAAGTTTGTGCAAATTATCAGTCGTTGAAGTTTGATGGTGAGCCCTAAAAACAAACCTGAAATTTGCATCGTTGCCACGGCAACACCGTTTGACCTTTTAAAAAGCTTTTAACAACTTTTAATGTCCCACTTGTCTAGATGATACAGAATGATTCTGTCTGGGTCAAACGCCCAAGGACGAGTTCGTTCAAGTACAAGGACAGGTCGCACGATCAATCCAATATGGCCGACTTCCTGTTGGTTGCTTAGCAACCGCGTAATATACTTTTTTGTTCCTATTCCCATGATGCATCTGTGTACCAAATTTGGTTTGGCTACGCCAAAGTTTTTGTCGGGCCTATTGGCAAGGGCAGATGTTTGGCCTGTCGCCATGGCAACACGATGGGAAATGGCATGGGGTCGTCATTGACTTTTTTGATCAAGACCATGTCATGAATCTGTGTACCAAATTTTATATGTCTACAACAAAGTAAATGTTTGCACTACCATGCAATTTCCCTAGGGGGCGCTATTGCGCCCATCTGAGATTTTCTTATATATACATCTGTTCAGGGTCGAGGTGTGAACCCGCGATTAAAATTTGAATGAAATCGGCCAAAGTTTGTGCCAGAATTTGTAGATTTTACCAAAGGAGAGTTTATGTCATCGCTATGGCAACGCCATAAAAAATATGACATGGGTGTCACTGACTTTTGGATCAGGATGCCAAAAGGGAATTTTGTGCAAAATTTCTGAAACTTTTGAACAACTATTTGGGAACAAATGATTTTCTTCCATATTAAATTTTGTTTCAATCTATAGGGGGCGCTAATGCACCAAATTCATAATTTTCACATGAAGTAGCTTCAGGGCAGAGAGTTTAACAAATGTTTCAAATGTCATTGAAATCGGAGTTCGTTTGAGCAAATGGGAGCAATTTGTAAATGTCCAAAATTGTGTGCATTTTTTGTTGCTTCACTGCTCAGAGATCGTAAGACGTGTGTGAACAATTTGGATAACTTTTATTGTTCTACGTCTTGAGATGATGTGGACCAAATTTGAGCTCGTTGGGGTGAACGCCCTCGGAGGAGTTCGTAACAGCTTAGCAAACTTTCAGCCAATATTACTGCCCCCTAGTGGAGCACACGGTGTTGGCGTAATAATATTTTTTCCTTGTCTTGACATGATCGACGTCTGTGTCAAATTTCATGATTGTACATGCAAATTTTTTTTGTGTCATTCGTATTCCCTAATGCATTTTTGAGTCGTTTGGGGCTGACGAGCCATTTTATTTCTGTTTGGAAAATGAAAATAGCAAAAAGTTAGAGAAGCGCGAGTTTTACCAGATGGAAAAATTTCAGGACTTTTCGTCATTGTTCAGTGGGAGAAAAATGGGTGAGTTGGTTCGGAGAAAAACCAACTGATACGAGAACAATGTTCCGCTTTTTTTTGGCCGACAAACTATACATTTTCAGAAACCTCAGGCGCATTGCTACGTGATGGCGAGGGTCCCTGGTCACTACGGGCGAGTCACGTCACGCCATGCCATTTTTCGGCCACTTGGAGCATCGCTTTGTGATACTAATAGGCCCTTCGCCGGCCTCTGGAGCTTGGGCCTAATAAATGAAAATAAGACGTGCTAAACTTGTTGGAATAAAAGAGCAAACATGGGACTCCATCTCTTCATGAAGAACTCTCTGTTAAGTCTTAAAGAATAAGTGATTTGCTCCATCGATAAATCTCTCACCTTTTCAATCCATATATGATAAGTGGGCGGGTCAGGGCACAACCATTTAATAGTTATACATTTAAGTGCAGCAGTCAGTATGATTCTTCAGAGATATTTTTTATCGTTTCCTCCAAAACCTTCTGGGATTAACCCTCAAATGGCGAGCTGTGGTTCTTTAACAAATGATGGCTGAAATACTGTACTGAGAGCTGCAAAAACATCACTCCAGAACAGACCGATCTTTGGACAAGTCCAAAATCTGTGAGTGTGAGTTCCTAGGTAGACACCACAGTTTCACCAGCAGGTATCAGGATTTACAGGATTCATTTTAGCTGTGATCTCTGGTGTCCTGAAAAATCTTGTTATTATTTTCCATTTCAACTCCCTCCACAGACCAGTGTCTTTATTTTTAACATGTGCGGCACAACATCACAACAGAAAGATCCTGCGTTTTATCCAACAAGACACTGGAAGTGAACTCAACAGGAAGTGCATACCCGAAAAATAAAACCATCCACAGAACAAAATAAAGTGCATAATAAAGTTATAATAAAATAATATTGTGTACGAAAACACAAATCTAACAGTGGTACATTGTTTGGAAAAGTGTCATTAATCCTTTGAGAAAATTCAACTATTAACTCTGTACAAAATTATGAAAAAGTTTTGTTTGCATTATTTATTCTATTTTTATTTGAGGAAGATCATTTGTTTTCTCACAAAGAAACACCTTTTCATGGTGAATAAGTAAAGCAACAAAAGTTAAGAAAGTTTTCATGGAAACTGATCAAAGGCAAATTACATTTGTAAAACTCACTGTGTTAAATCACAAAGTCTCTGATTCTGTAACCAGGAGACTCACAGACTCAGGAGCGTTGGATTCAAAGTGAGAGGGGTTTGGGTTCAAATCAGAGACACAACTTTGTCTAAACGGATCTTTTATGTAGAATCCATTTACAACAAGAATCAAACACACACACACTCCCAGCATCGTCCATCACAAACACACAGGTTTACTCCATCTCCAGAGAATCAGCAAAGAGAACATGAGACAGTCTGTCACTGTCACTGCTGCACACAATCTACAAGATTCAACTATTAAAGCAGAACTCTGCTGCAAAAGGGACTTTTCACACATTTAACCATGTCACACATGTTTCCTTTCTTCTATTTGGACACATTCAACCTGAACATTTACAAAAACACTTTTACCTGAACACTTCACCTCCAGACCCCAGGGAGAGGAAGAAGATGAATCAGAGACACATTCTCTCACTGAAGACTCCTTCACACAGTCAGATGTGACCCTCCACACACGACTCTGTGGAAAATCATCTCTGTGTTCTCCATAAACAGCAGAACCACAGTCCAGGTCTCTGCACACACCAACTGTGTCCTTCTGGTGCCAGCGTCCAAAAGTCTCCACTCGTCTCCACTCTCCTCTGTGTTTCACCTCCACAGTCCCAGCACAGCGACTGGCTCCTCCCACCAACCTGAGCTCTGAAGAGACAAGAGACAGAGTGAAGCCCCGCCCCTTTACCTGAGCAGTGAAGCCCCGCCCCTTTACCTGAGCACTGAAGCCCCGCCCCTTTACCTGAGCAGGTGAGGTTGGACAGTGGCTCCAGAGGAGCAGGTGCTTGAGTTGGAGCGGGGACAGTCCATCAGAGCAGACTCATGTCCCTCACAGTGGAACGTCTGCCCCAGAGGAGAGAGCGCCCCCTGGAGGAGAGAAGGAGCCCCACAGTCCAGCTCCCTGCACAGCACCTCTGCCCCCCGCTGGTCCAAGTCCCCGTCACAGACCCCGGTCCAGGACCCGTCCCAGATCTGCACTGATCCTGAACACAGACCGGACCCCGAGACCAACCGCACCGACTCTGTGGACACACATGTGACATCATCACTCTGAACCAATAGGACGCACACATGTGTGACATCATCACTCTGAACCAATAGGACGCACACATGTGTGACATCATCACTCTGAACCAATAGGACGCACACATGTGACATCATCACTCTGAACCAATAGGACGCACACATGTGTGACATTCACACACATGTGTGACTGACATCTCACTCTGAACAATAGGACGCCACACATGTGTGACATCATCACTCTGAACCAATAGGACGCACACATGTGTGACACATCACCTGAACCAATAGGACACTCACCAATAGGACACTTGTTGTGATCATGAGAGTTAAACACAAACTCAGAGGACGTGTCTCTTTTTTCTTTCCTCACTTCCTTCTTCTTGATTTCTCTCTTTGATTCTGCAGGAAATGGGTGAGGAAGTCCCGCCCACAGAGGAGACACAAGGAGCAGAGAGAAGAAGAGGAGAGACTCTGGGCTCCACATTAACCGTCGTCTTTTGGCCTCGGGCAACTACAAGTTTAGTTTGGGCAAGTGGTCTCCTCTGTGTAGTAGCCCGAGTGGGCAAGTGAAAGTACAGCCACACAAGTCTAGTCCCCCATTAATAATCATGAATTATTTGGTTGAAAAATGAAGGGACGGGTTGTCTGTTTGTAATCCCATTTTTCATTTCCGTGAAAGGGACGGGTAAGTCTTATGTTGTCACCGTGACCATTTTGTGAGACAGTGACAAGTGCTCACTTCATGTGTGCGACTGTGTGCGTCACGTCTCTCATTTTACCATCACGACTGCACACACATCTCCAGGAAACTTCAAACACATCAGAACAAGGAGCAAACTCAGGACTAAACCCAACTCCAACCAACATAAAGAGCAACTCCACAGTGTCTCCGTCAGGAAAGACGTCACACACACAAGAGCGTTCAATTCATAGTGAGACGGGTTTGGGTTCAACTCCACTGAGTGTGTTCACATGTACTTAAATCAAATCAAATCAAACTTTATTTATAAAGCGCTTTTCATACAAAACTGTATGTGACGGAGTCAGTCCGTCTACGAGTTTAGGTGACGTTTTTCCCCCTACACGTAACCGCGGTCTGCACTGACATGCCCGCACACACACACACTGATTCATCCCGCACACACGAGTTCATTCCCCGTTTCCCCGCTGTTTCATTCATTCGCGCCGTATTCACTATTATCACCTTTTCCCCTCTTTCCTCCGATACTAATTCTTCAAGGCTGCACACTTGAGCGCGTTAGAGCAATTTATTTCATACTTGTCTCTTACCTGTCCGATGACGCCGTCTCTCTCTCCTCCGACACGGCGCCTCTGCCAAACCGAGCCACTGTTTCCTGGTAGTTGAAATAGACGCTGTTCGTGTCGTGGTGCAGACCATGTGACGCACATTATGTAATACAATTTTCTTTACGTTTTGCAGGCATTATTTTTGACATTAAATGTACATTATTACTGTGTGCTCAACGTAGCATAGACAAGGTAGGTTTATGGTTAAATTGTTTGTCTTTATAATGATTTTGATGTGTTGCTCAGTGGGAGGAGTCAGGTGGTTTAAAGGGGAGCCGTTTCTGGCTGTTAATCAGTCTGCCACCGGTTACAGAGCAGGTAACGTCGGTGTGCTGCACAGAATCTTAAAGGGGACAGTTAACACTGAACTCGACCCTGTTTCTTTGTTGTAAATACTTTTTGGACTGTTTTGCTCACTGTAAATATTTTGCACTGTTTTGGGGATTTTTGCACTTTGGACACTGGCACAATAAAACCACCTGCACTTGGAATCTCGATCTTGCCTAAGTTTTTAATAGAGCCCCGCCACATCTGGTGTCAGAAGTGGGATGGCAAGTCGAAAGAAGGGTGTCCGCCTTCCAAAGCGCACAGGTCTGCGGTCACAAAGCCGTGTGCGACAGCCAGAGGGGGCAGCAGCTCCGGACCCAGTATGGAAGTCAGAGGAGGAAGAAGAGTGGGAGGACAAACCAGAGCCATCGTCGGAACCTGGTCAAGAGATGGTGGCTTTGATGAGGGAGTTTCTGGCAGGTCAGCAACGCCGGGAGGAAGGTTTGCTGGCAGAACTCCGGGGTCTGAGGGCCTCCCTCCCTGCAGCAGAGAATGTGGCTCAGTGTGCACCTCCTCCTCAGCCAGCTCCCAGAGTTCGTCCGGTGCCACACCTACCTGCTCCAATCCTGCCTGCGCACCTCGAGGCAGGTACCCCTACGTCCACGGCCAGTAGCCCAAGAATGGGACTACCAAACCCTGGATGCCAGACGTCCTTATATGGAAGTCGCATGGAGGGCGGGGGCGGTGCTGAGCTGCAGCATCAAGCCCTGGAACTGGATGACCGACCCAGACCTGAATGGAGACATTTCAGTGAGCCCAAAATACCCCAATACCAAAGTGGGGAGGACATGGAGAACTATCTGCTACGTTTTGAGCGGATAGCCAAAACCTGGAGGTGGCCAGAGGAAGAGTGGGCGTGTCGACTTGTACCCCTACTGAGTGGGAAGGCGCTGGAGGCCTACTCTGCCATGGATGAGGAGAGGGCCCACTGTTACGGGGACCTGAAGGAGGCCCTGCTGGCCAAATTTGACATTTCGCCGGAAACCTACCGCCAGCAGTTTCGCTCTTCCACCCTGTCACCTGGAGAGAGCCCCACAGAGACCTATCACCGTCTCAGAGGACTCTATCGTCGCTGGATTCGACCAGAGGAGCGTACCAAGGAGGAGATCGGGGAGGCGATTATCATGGAGCAGCTCCTGCGGGTGTTCCCCTTCGATGTGAGGACCTGGGTGAAGGAACACGAGCCAGCCGACGGATTCACCGCTGCCAAGTTGGCCGTGCAGTACCTCAACGCTCGCAAGGGAGGACCTGCTACCCGGTCAACCACCGCATCTCAACGTGCACCAGTTCAACCGCTTCTGCCCAGACCAGCGAGGCGTGACTACAGCCAGGACCAGCCAGGTACCACCAGCACTGCCCAAAACCAACGAGGACCTGGTAAGGAGCTTATTTGTTTTTACTGCCAACAACCTGGTCACAAAGCTTCAGTTTGCCCTGTTCGCAAAGCAAAAGTTAGTGGAGCATGCTATCCTCCAAGACCAGAGTCAGAGAGCTCTAGAGAGACTGAAAATACTGTGCAACGCTACAAAAATGTACTGATTAATGGCCACAATGTTACTGCTTTACTGGATACTGGTAGTTTCACATCTTTGATCAAGCGCAGCTCAGTGCCAGTTAGCAGCCTGGATTACAGCAAGACAGTGGACATTTTGTGTGTGCATTTTGTGTGTGTGCATTTTGTGTGGACAGCCACCCCTATCCACAGTGGATGTGACTGTGACTGTTTTAGATCAGCCTTACCTGGTGACTGTGGGAGTTGTAGAAAACTTACCTGTAGATGCTATCCTTGGGTGGGATTTACCTGTGCTAATGGACTTGTTGAATGAAAGTGAGTTACCTGGGGAAGTTGACTCTGGGGGGAATGATGACTGTTCTTTACATGTGTCTTGTCCTGTTCTCACCCGAGCACAGGAAAAAGCTGAGGTCCAACCTCTGCCAGACTTTGACAGTAGTCTGTGTGAGGGCGGCACCAAAGGGCCAAGAAAGTCCCGTCGTCAGCGGCGATTTGAAAAACAAATGTGGTCTTTAAAACCTGAAAATGTTGATTCTTTTGTGTGGAATGTGCCAGAAAATCTTGTTGAGTTGCAAAGCCAGGATGAAACCTTGAAATGTCTGTTTGCTAAGGTGGGAAAAGAAACAAAGGACTGTTTAAACCAAGAGAAATGTGTTATTGACAATGGAGTTTTGTACATTGTTGGTAATAAGTGCAAACGTCTTGTTGTTCCACTTAGCTGTAGGACCCTTGTCATGCACCTTGCGCACACAGTTCCGTGGGCAGGTCACCTCGGTCGACACAAAACCTTTTTGCGCGTGAGTTCCCGGTTTTATTGGCCGTCCATGTACGCCGATATTCAAAAATACTGTGCTACCTGTCCTACCTGTCAGAAAACCTGTCCTTTGCGCAAATCTGACCGTGCATTTCTACAGCCTCTTCCAGTGATTTCGACTCCCTTCCGAAGGATTGCCATGGACATTGTGGGGCCCCTGGTGAAGAGCAGCAGCGGGCATCAGTACATCCTGGTCATCTCGGACTATGCCACCAGATTTCCGGAGGCCTTTCCGCTGAGGACTATCACTGCGCCTGCTGTCCTTCGAGCCCTTGTCCAGCTGTTTTCCAGGGTTGGTCTACCTGATGAGATCCTCACCGACCAAGGCACCAACTTTACATCTCGTCTGATGCACCTTTTCCAGCAGCAACTGGGTATCACCTCCATCAAAACCACTCCGTACCACCCACAAACTGATGGACTAGTCGAGAGATTTAACCAGACACTAAAGAGGATCTTACAAAAGTTTGTTCGTGATACCGGCAAGGACTGGGACCGTTGGCTACCCTTTGTTTTGTTCGCCTATCGAGAAGTCCCACAGGCGTCAACTGGGTTCTCCCCATTCGAACTGTTATATGGCTGGGATGTGCAGGGACCACTAGACCTCCTCCGCAAACAGTGGGAGGGCCGACCAGCCATGCACGAGGATCGGAGCATTGTCCAGTACGTCCTGGAGATGCGAGAGAGACTCACAGAATATCTAGAGGAGGCAGAGAAGAACCTGCAGGAAGCTCAAAAAGCCCAGAAGGCCTGGTATGATCGCCAAGCCCGCAGTCGAGAGTTCCAACCTGGCCAGAATGCTGCTTCTCCTGCCATCCTCACCAACAAACTTTTGGCAAAATGGCAGGGCCCTTACACTGTCACACGCAAGATGGGGCCAGTCACCTACGAAGATCTGCACCCTGACAAAAGAAGTCCAAACAGACTTATCACATTAACCTCCTTAAGGAGTGGAGGGAGCGTCCAGTCCAGACTCCAACAAAAGCCCTGTTTGTCAGGAAAGTGAGCGAAGAAGAGGACGAGGAGGAGCCGGACATGGGACTGGAGGGATTGACCAACACTGCTGCCCCAATGCTGGTTCATCTCCCTCCCGAGCAAGCCACACAGCTACTACAGACCTTCAATGAAGTGTCCTCCCTGTTCA